CTTTCTCCTATTATTTGCTCTTTTTTCTTTGCTGTAGCCACCAATATGCTACAGCAATGTCTTCATTGGATAAACTCGTGGTATTAACTGAAAGGCATTTGTGTAGATATCACACCGCAAATGGCATCGCGTGTCGCATCGCGTATCGCATCGCTCTAATGTGTACTGCGCGCATTTCATATCGCATCGCGTATCGTATCGCATCGCATATCGTATCGCTCTAATTGCACCGTGCCTTATAGTAAAAGAAAACTAAAAGGGCGCGCCTCGGGCTATTACCGTTTCGATTCTGGTAATGCATTTTAAGGTCCACCTAAAATTCTTTTGAAATGTCAGTTAAGCTACTCTGGCGCTCAAGGCCTCATATAATAAATAGATACATTTACATAAATACACTTTAATTCAATCTCTGTATACGTACGTGTATAAAGAAGAATATAACAAAAATTTGTGAAACAAAAAACAACACATAAATAATTTTGCAACGCACGCGTTTAAAAATATACTTTTCATAACAACGCGCTTTTAGCTTTTGGCTTTTTAACGGGATCTTAACCTCAGAACAAAAAACTATTTAAAGAATCGACTTAAGTGCATATACCGAAGCGCTAAAGAGCCCAAGTACATCACAAAAACTGCTGTTCAAACCTCCTTTTTTCATTTCCTCTATATATGGATCAAAGATCTTTAAAAAACATTTAAATACCGACGCGATTAATATTGAGCATGTGGTATTCGCGCGCGATCCATCATTATTTTGAAATCCATTAATATGACTCACGATTCAAATGTCACAATAAATATTGAACGTGTGATAGACACCCCACACTGTGATAAATTAACGAGTAGACTGCCCAGCGATAATTTGCTTCGATATGTGATTAGTTGTTTCCGCTGAGCGCTGTGTTGCCTGATCAATGCAATTTTTTCTAGTAGTATTGTCACCGCTACACACAACCACATCACAATTTATCAAATTAATCCAACTTTTTTAGTCTGACTTTATACACGGCAAATTTAACAAAAGTTACCAAAATAAATAAAAAAGTTTCCAAGTTACCAAGCACTCTAAAATTTACCTATTTTGGTCACAAATGACCAAAGGTGGCAAACGTGGTTGCTAACACTTGTAGTGAAATAATTCTCTTATTTAAAATCGCGCTAGGATTAATAAAATATAGTTCTTTTAAAACAACATCATTGAAATCAAACCGGCTTCTTAATTGTCTGCCGATTTCAATATAAAAGGCAATGCAATTATGTGTGAATTCATATAAATCGTTAGAGGAAAGCTTACATTCATCAATTTTGTTTTTTACATACACTCCAACTTTTCAACTTTACAAAACAAATCCTTATTTTCAAAGTCAAGCTCGTAAACACAATCGCCATCTAAATAAATCGAATCGATAAAGTTGTCTAAAAACTTTAGGTAAAGGCCTAACACTGCATTATGAATATTTTGTATTTGACAATTTGTGCTTTGAAATACTTTGTTAAACTTGTTAAAATATTGAGTACATATTTTAAAAAAACATAAATACAGTTCATTCATATCGTTTAGATTTTTAAAAACAGTAACGGCAGTATCGATATGATCAATATTTTATGCGAACGAGAAAAAAAAATTTTATAGGTTGGTACAATTCGAGCACCCGACCCACCACTAATTCTAACGAAAGTCATCTGGTTTGCGCCGGATGTAGCAGTTTTTTTGGTTTGTATTCCAGAAGTGACGATATTTTAAAAATTGTGCATTTCTTTTAGGGATATTTGCAATATATGTAGTTATATATATTTCGTACTAAAGTCTCCACTTCAAAAGCTAATTTGAGGCACGCATACGATGAGCAAAGCGCCAGTGAATGGCCAACGCATTTAATAGTAAACAAACTTGGAATATCAACTTTTAGCAGTTTTGATACGAACTGATTTTTACCCGTCATATTTTCCGCATCGTCCGCTGCGAAACCAATCAAATTACTCTTGTAGCAAATATTATGTTTATTCAAGTAATTCACAACAGTGTTGTATATACTTTTCGCATCATAATTCTCCACTTCAATTAAGCCAAAAAATAAGTCTTTTATATAAAAATCTAAAGTTGCTCTAACAACTAAGAACAGCGTTTTTATATTCGTAATATCCGTTGACTCATCAATGCACAAGGAAAATTTTTGCTGACGTAAAAGTGAACACAAGTACTCAAACTGGGTGCGACCCAATACATTTTTTACAATAAGTGTGGCTTTTATGCGGCCGCAAGATACTTTTGAAGTTAGTTTTGAGTCTGAACTACCATGTTTTAAAAACTGAGTCAAGTGATCTATGCAGGAAAAGGGCAAATTATGCTCTGCAATAAATGCACACAACGGAAGCTCTATAGTCTGAACTTTTCTCGTTTCGGCGGAACTATTTTGAAACTGCGTATCGATAGTGGTTGGATGGCTACAAACTATGCAACTTGCCCTCTCGTTATGCCTTTTACTTGCTCTAATAAATCACTTTTTCCAGATCTAACTCTAAGTACGGTGTTGCACAATTTGCAAGCTAGTTCGTCAGTAACTTAAGGGTTTTTTTTCTTAATCAGCCAACTAAAAAACTCCTCCAGCCATGATGAACATATTTTACGTTGATTGCTTTTAGTTTCCTAAAATATATTTATATGCGTATAATGTACAATAAAGTCCAGTTTATTTAATCACAATTATTCACCGTCACAATTTCTTTTACAGCGCCACTTCGTGTTTCAGGGGAGCAATTCTATATACATATAAATACAAATATAAATTACGCTATAAAACGTTATTTGAATACATTTTTTATTATATGCACATTAGTGCGGATCGGTCCCCATACAAAAAAAAAAGTTTTTCCAGTCCACCCCTAGGATTAAAGATATTTTGAAGGCGATCCCAAAAAAATTTATTTTTTTTTGCCACGCCCCCCCGATGGGCTATTTACTTTTTTTAACACTACGTCGCCATTTTAAGTCCGATTTTAATGAGCCGTACACCGTTGTTCATGGCTTGGCAGCCGCCACAATTCTTACCTTAATCATTTTTTACTCCGAGTTCAAATTCTAGTAGTGACTGTCGGTATCTTGTTTCACATCATACCTAAATTCCAATTTTTTTAGTCTGTCGAAAAGGCCTTTAAATTCTGTGAAACTTTTTCTAAAAAATGATTAAGGTAATAATGGTGGCGGCTTCCAAGCCATGAACAACGGTGTACGGCTCATTAAAATCGGACTTAAAATGGCGACGTAGTGTCAAGACAAGTAAATAGCCCATCGGGGTGGCGTGGCAAAAAAAAATTAAATTTTTTTTTGCGATCGCCTTCAAAATATCTTTAATACTAGGGGTGGACTGGAAAAACTTTTTTGTCGATCCACCCTAATGCACATACCTGTGGGAATTAAAAACTTATCCATTTCGTCAGATTTAGTTAATTTTAAATATTTAGCTTGCACATGAAACTTCAATGAGCACAAATTGTTTTTCTATAACTGACGAATATTGGAATTCTTCTTTCACCCCTTATCCAATATTCCTCTTTGTAAATATATCACTATGTATAGAGACAGAGGTGGCGCATTCCGCTGTTTGTGCGTTTGTGTGATTTTTCATCACATCCTTCATCTACGCTATTCGCTGAAATGCGCATTCTCGTAAATATATGAACCTTTCTTCTTATCTCTCTACCTTTGTCCAATATACATGCGTGCTATCTTTCTGTCTCTTTTGAATTAGTGTATCAGCAGTGCAAATTTACGATTTGGTTACAATTCTATAAGAAATGTAATAGAACCAAAGGCAGGGTTGTATCTAGAACAAAACTAATAGAAATAAAAGCATGGTTGTATTTTGAACTGGGTTTGCCTTTAACAAATTTTGTCCATAGGAAAGTGGAAAAATCTAAAATAAAAAAACGTCATTTCGGGGAAAAAACGTCAGAGCGTCATTGAGCTAAAAAAAACGTTAAAATGACGACCAACTCGTCAATTCGGCAACGCTGAGCGCAATCACCAGAGCGCTACTCACCGACGTTGTTAGAGCGCCACTTGTCAACGTCACCAGGGCGCCACTCAACAGCGTGATTAGAAAGCTACCCTCCAGCGTTACTAGAGCGATACTCACCGGCGTGAGGAGAGCGCCACTTGTCAACGACTTCAGAGCGCTACTATCTACTTACCAGCATCGCCAGAGCACTACTCGCCGACGTTGTTAGAGCGCCACTCACCGGCGTGGCCAGAGCGCTACTCGTCGACATTGCCGAGAGCACTACATACCGACGCGACCAACAGAGCGCTGCCCTTCTGTACCAAAGCTACGCCACTATGGCATAACGGGCCAGTACCGGAACGCAGAGCCGTTACCCAGCCACCAAAAGCGACATTTCTGGAATTTTCCATAGTGCTATTTTCTTGTTATATGTTTATCGAAATTAAGGAATTTAGATAATAAAGTACGGTTTGCCAGAGCCCTGAAACTGCAAAAACGCTTCGTTACAATTGACGCCCGAGCAGGGACCCATGGCAAATCGTACACGTGCAAAGGAAAATTATTATTTATTTTGAACAAACCAAGCGAACAAAATGGCGGAGGTAATCAACACAGCATGGCTGGATGATATAGGAGCAACTAGTGTCTTGTCGGCCGCTGTGGTGTAGTGGTAAGCAGTGCGCGCTTCCACTCCACAATGCCTGGGTTCAAACCCTGGTCAAAGCAATATCGCAAAAATATAGAAAAAAGGTTTTTTCTTAACAGCGGTTGTCCCTCGGCAGGCAATGGCAAACCTCCGAGTGTATTTCTGCCATGAAAAACAGCTTCTCATAAAAATACAATCGCCGTTCGCAGTCGGCGTAAAACTGTAGGTCCCTCCGCTTTGTGTGACAACATCAAGGCGCACGCCACAAATCGGAGGAGAAGCTCGGCCAAACACTAACATATGTGTAAGCGCCAATCTATTATTATTATTAACTAGTGTCTATTGCACAGGAATTGGGAATCGAATGCGCGGGTACCGCCCGGGAAATACGCAAGCGCATAACGGCTCTGGCGGCCAAGGCACATACCGACCCGGAGATCTACGCCAAATTCCAGGCGATGGAGACCACCTGCAAATACAGTGAGGCTACTTCGGAGGACGAGGATGAGCAGAAGACACCAGTATCAGAGGATGAACGTGAGAGGAGTACGAATGCTCTTATGGGAAACTCGACACAGAGTCAGTTGGCAGTACCACTACACCAGCACCAACCACCAACGCACCAGATCCAAACACCAACGTACCAGAACCAACCACAACAAACGTCGGGCCGAACGCAGGTACAGAAAATCTTGAAAACCAGGCGCCAACAAACACGGTTGCACCCATCATCGACCAGGTGAGAAAGTTGTCAGTAAAATATGACGGTGGACGAGACCCTTTGTGGAGCGATTTGAGGAGTTGGCCGAGGTGCATGCCTTGGACGTGGACCTCCTGCCGAAAACCATACCCGATCTACTGTGCGGTACCGCCCTTCACTGGTACCGCAACAACAATGAACACCGGAGGAACTAGATAACCTTCAGGCACGATTTCCTACGTTTCTTTCTGCCAACCCATTATTTCGAACGCCTCGAAGACGACATACGGCAGAGAAGGCAGCACCCACGGGAGAAGTATAAGGATTATGTAACCGCGATACAACAACTGATGCGACACGCCGGGTATAGCAGCGAGCAGCGTTTGGAAAGAACTTTCCGCAACAGCCACCCCGACTTCTTATTATATATCCGGTGTCGTGAACTACTCACGCTCACGGAAGAATACGAGAATATCCACGAAGGCCACGGGCGAACGACGGAAACATCGCGAAAAGAGGTTGCGAGGCATGTTATCGGCGACAGTCCTATTAGAACCACAACACTATCGGCAGTGCGCCCTAGTCCACCTAGTCCACCGGCGCCTCGAAGAGTTTCATATCAACCAGCTTAGCAAGATTTTCCAGGCGCAATAGACGATCTCATACTCTGCCTAGACACGTTGGGGAGCATGGGAGCTACAGTATCTTGCGGTGGCCAACACATCGTCTTGACTGAACCGACTGACACCGCGCACCACCTCACAAACCACGAAGGATAGCATCCCACCAGGAATAAGTAGTAACACCCCGGCGAGGGTGGCCAAGGGAAAATATCGAAGGAGGGGTAGACCCAGCAGCGAGAGGATTAACAGGGCAGACCATGAAGACCCCAGTGAAAGCGGTGACGAGCACACCTCCGCGGTGATGTCCCAATAACAATAGAACCATGATGCAAGCGGTGGCATAAGCGCGTGGAGGCAGTGCGCATCAACCCGGAGAAATATGCAGAAGTTAGGTCGCGGGCGCAGTGCTCTGGAAGTTGTGTAATCACGATGTTCCCAGCGCCGGACACATGGGCATCGCCAACCGGTGCTATTGGCCAAGTATGTTTCTCGATATCAGTCGCTATGTACGCCCATGCGCACATGTCATTGCCAGCAGTAGCGCGCCCTCACAGCGCATACGGTTACCACACCGGTAGTCGCCGCGCGCACAGCAGCCCGACGAGCTAGTAACGCGCACCTGATCACAAGATACACCGCCGACTTGGCAGAAGAATCCGCAAGGGCCTCGAGGACCTTGCCACACGCACATGCAAGCCCCGGCTGAGGTTCAGCACCAAGGACTATCGGATAACTATACACAACTGGGCGCACACCCATCCAAGGACCAGGGAAGCTCCAGACTATCAAGCAGGGGGCATTAGACCAACGAAGTGGGGGGGGGGGGGGGGGGGCAGTGTGAGGACCAAATACCCCTGACGAATTTGGCCCATACAAATTCCCGCCATCAAAGCAACCAGCGATGCAATAAACCACCGCAACACAAGTCATAGCAACACTCGACCACCTCTTCGTTGTCATGACAACGCAACATCACACAGCAACATGTAGCTGCACATACACGAAACATTAAGCACAGTCAGCACGAGACTGTGGTCGTGAACAGGCGGCCATTGGCAAGAAGTGACTTCATCTGCTCCGGCTCGACGGTCGGGCTTGATTCCACTTCTGCAACAGCTTCTGGTAGGGTGATTTCTTCTGCACCGGCTTGACTGTCGGGCTGGACGTGACCTTTCCAGTTGCAGCGCCACAGGTTACACATGCTCTCAGCACAGCCCTCCTGAAACCGCGCACGGGCGACACCCGCTTGCCCGCCGTCAGCAGAGTGACATCAACGGCGGCAACAAGGGCGCTACCCATCACCGCCAGCGGAGCGCCTACGAGAACGCCGCTCACCAACGATCAAAGCGTCACTCATTGGCGTGCCAAGAGCTTTACACACCGACACAAGCAGAGCGCGACTCATCGACAATGCCGAGAGCGCCACTTGTCAACGTCACCAGGGCGCCACTCAATGGCGCGATTAGAACACCACCCTCCGGCGTTACTAGAGCGATACTCACCGGCGCGAGCAGACCACCACTTCTCAACAACATCAGAGCGCTACTCTGCACCTACTGGCGTCACCGAACACTACTCACTGACGTTGTTAGAGCGCCACTCACCGGCGTGATCAGAGCGCGACTCGCCGACATTGCCGAGAGCGCTACATACCGACGCGACCAGAACACCACTTACCGACGTTAGCAGCGCACCACTCAGCGGCGTCAGCAGAGCGCTGCCCACCAGTACCAAAGCTACGCCATTACGGTGAAGCGGGCCAGTAACGGAACGCGGAGCTTTTACTCAGACACCAGAAGCGACATTTCTGGAATTTTCCATAGTGATCTTTTCCTGTTATATGTTTATAGAAATTAAGGAATTTAGATAATAAAGTACGGTTTACCAGAGCTCCGAAACTATAAATTTATTGTAACGGACCGTGGACACGGCGAGTATACCCCAGCGTTGTAGAAGAACCGTCGGGGCAGCAAAAACGCTTCGTTACAGTTGTTAAGCAGTGTCGATAACTGATTGATAACAACATGAGTTGGGTTGCCAGATTTTTTTTGCGCGAAATCAGTACCGGGACAAAAAATAATTTTGCCAATCATTTTCACAAAACCTAAACCTAAATCTATTGGTAAATCTTTTTCAATCATCCTAGATTTATTGGCCCTGAAATAGCATCTTTATTTAGTATATATTTTTCGATATTTTGTGAATGCAGCACATAAATATTCAGTTGCAAAATCACACATTTGTAGAATATTTTTCCATTGCTTTATGCTTTGTGCTCGTGAAAATATCCGACTATTTTTAAAGCACAATGCAGTGAATAGCATCCGGAAAGAGCTGAATTGCAAAGCGTACCTTCGAAGGGTTCCACTTCCCTTCTATCTTTGAGAACTTCCTTACTTTTGCAACATTCTCACAGTAGCCTTCTTATTTAGAGTTTCTCATGTCGCAAATACAATTCCTCATACAATGAGCAAACCGAGGGCTTATATTCAATACCCTCTATCTGCAAAAACTAAATTTTTCAGGAGAGCAAAAAAACTGTTTCGACAGCTATTTTTAAATGTGTGTGGCTTAAAAACACCGGTAACATATACACACATGGGCACATGTAACTTACCCAGTCTTTATTTGACCTGCCACAAAAAATGCTAATGAAAACAATTTTCCAGCAAAATTGTGTAGATAGAGGGTTTTTCTCTTGTAACAAAATGTTATTGCAGATAGTGGATTTTTCAAAATGAGAATATAATACCATTAAAGCTAAATTTTAAGTTTAACATTATTGTCATGGCTGAAAGATAAACAAGAGCTCACGCTACCATCAAAAACTAATTTTCATTAAAATTGCAGATAAAGGGTATTGAGTATAAACATTTGTTTGCCGTAGTTTCGCCTAATGAACATATTCTCCCTTCACAAAATTTGAAAATTACCTCCACTCCACGGCCCTTTGGAGAGGTAATAGTACCCGAGAAAAAACAGCAAGCTGCGTGCATTTTGTTGTTGGTTTTGGAATCCATATACGTAAACAAAGTTTTAAATTTTAGAGTAAAATTTAAACAAAAATTACAATTTAAAGACGAAATTCGCGACAAAAGTAAAATCAGCTGCTCTACTGCTGCTACCTATTCAATATGCCATTCAACTTGAAATGCATTGAAAAAACCTTTGAAAAGCTAAATATTAGTGAAATTTCTCTTAGAAATTTGAACAACAATCATTAACGTCTAATTTCAATTCATACCCACAAATACCCAGTGTTCTTACGCAAAATTATAACTAC